AGCTCCAGATATAAAATAAACTTTCATAATAAACATAATATGCGAGTAGGTATTGATATTAAAAAGCTAAATATGATCAAAAATTTATTAACTAGTTTAGAAATGATTGTATTAACATTGATCGAAAATATGTTGCAAAAGTTTTTCAATGCTGTAGTAGTGCACTAACTAAAAGACCTTTCTTGCAAAATACTGTATGATGTAAAATTATGCAATTTTGGTAAAATTTCAGAATTTTGACCCAGTTATAGTCAAAATACTCCTAGGTATTCTATAATTTTTTTCAGTAATTTTTAAATTAGACTCTGGGTTTTTAGTTAATGCACTATAGTACATTCATGTGCTTGAAAACTTAGTTTATAAAATTTATGCTATCATCTAGGTGTTTTGCACTTTTTGAAATAATAAGCTTTCTAATTTTTTTTAATTATTCATCAGTGAAGGTGCTTTGAAAGCATTATGCTTCTATATTTGACTAGAGATATTTGTATTTGTTTGTATAATATTTATATTAGCTATCTGGTATATATGTGCATATAGGGGCCTGCAAATTGCCTATTTTTGAGGCCTGGCCTGGCCCACATTTAGGGTTAAAAATTTTTTTTAGACCCAGCCTAGTCCACATTTAGGGTTATCATTTTTTTGCCAGCCTGGCCTGGCTCACATATGTTAAATTTTTTCTTCAGCCTGGCCCAGCCAGCCTAGTCTGCAAAAATTTTTTATATAATTTTACAAATTTTTAGGTTCGCACTGGCCTGCAATTATAAAGTTTTGCAAATTTTTTGGCCCAGCCTGGCTCGCAATTATAAAATTTTGCTTCAGGCCTAGTCCGGTCTGCAAAAATTTGTGGGCTGGGCCGAGCCGGGCTGCGGGACTCAATGCAGGCCTCTATGTATATGTATATATATCAATTTATAGAATTTATTATACTGAAATTATAAATTTAACCAAATTGGCAGAAAGATCATTTGGCCAATTTTAACAGATGTCTCAAAAATTATGATAATAGCTGTAAACACAGTTTTTGGATTTCCAACTGGTTTTGACTTCTATTTTCAAGATAAAAATTAATAATAATATTATTATTAAAATTTGTTTAAGCATTATCCTTGCTATTATTTGCTATTATTAGAATGATTCTTAATTAATTGCTTGGATAGATCTTATTCAGTACTTGAGCAGCTTAAAAATAGTGTCAAATAGACGAATAAAATTATAAAAATACTTGAATAACTTTAATAAAGTTTTGATAAACCAATGCAAAGAAAGAATAGCTTAAAGCAAAAGATTAGTAACCAAAATGATAAATATTTAAACTTTTCACTATTTAAAAGTTTTCTTTGCCATAATAAATCAAATATTCAATGATTTATTTATAACAAATAATTTGTCTTTAATTTCATAATAAAACTATTATAAGCATAAACAAATTAATAATAAAGACTTTGATATTTATTTATTTTTAATTTAATTATGATTATTATTTTTTTTAGATATGCAAAAGTAAATAGAATATGATCAAGAATAAATAGATATCATTGTATGATACTCAGTTATTACATTGAAATGATCAGCAATACATAAAAACATATCGTTTAAATAATTGATAGTGGACTTATCAAATATTTGAATGTAATTTAGATTAATTGTAAAATCCAATATTTTATTTTCTTAACAATATAATGAGAGGTCAAAAGAAAAATAACTCACCCAATATAATAAAGGCAATTAGATCATATGATCATAATAGAAAGTAGTGAATATTAGCTGAGAAGACACAAGAAGAATGTGAAGCTCATCTAATTCATAGAAGATCATTATATAATCAAAATAAAGCAAAAGAAACTAATAAGCAATGAAGTAAGTGAAATTTTAAAAATGCAATGAATATGCAACAAAGGTGTACCCTAAAGACTTTAGTGACTTTTCAAAACATGGCAAATGTACATGAGAGAAATTCTTTGGAAAACGATCTTCAAAAGTCTAATAGAGAACTTCTGAAAAAATTTCGCAACACTATTAATAAAATCAAATCCAAACAATATAATACATGCAATAAGAGATTTCCATCTATCAATTTCATTAGAGATGAGTGCTGCCACTGTTATAATAAAACAAGCAATCCCAAGAAATTTTCTGCAGAGAATAATATGAATCCAGATATAAAATCTAAATAATAAATATTCATATAAATTTAATAAATCATACTTTTTTTTTAGGAGAGGTTCTAGAAAAACTTAAGGACTTAACTAACATTAAAGAAATACTAATTGCACAAGTATTTCTTGTTATTTCTGTATATAACTTACGTGGAGGGCAATATGCATACTGAGAAAATATTATTAATTTTCCATAAGATTTGCAAGTGTTCATGACATATCTTTTATATAACCCATCATCATTAGACATAATACTTGTTTGATGCCATTTTAATAATGAATCCACTTTTTATGACTTTACTGTTTGAAGAGAAAAAATATCTTAGGCCCTTCAGTGGTTGAAGACAAATAATACATTCTACCATGATATCATTATTGACAATAAGGCCCTACAATCTTTATCTGAAAATGGTTCTGTCTCTAATCAACTTCTGCAGCTTAAAGATAGTGAAGATGATTAAATAGAACAAAATAAAGATATTGAATTAAATGAAAATGAGTTCATTTTACAAACTTTGTTTCTTCTTAACCATCAGGACAAAGAGAAGATAGCATGATCAGTTAAACTCTTAAAAGGATGTGGCAAAATTGTTTACAATAGCAAGAGAATTGGATTGAATGGCCACATAATAAAGGTTGTCCAATTGATAAGTTCTATACTGCAGGATATATAGTAAAAGCATTTACTATACTTTTTCCCAGAGGTATCACAGATCTTCGCTATCAATAAATAAGAGAAGTAAAACTAGCAGAGTATTTCAAACATCTAATGTTATATAACATCATTTATGATGGCATTATTTTGCATTAAATACATTAATACGATGGAGAGCATTGTCAAAAAGCCATGTATTTGTTAAACAAAATTTGGAGGAAGGTCAACTTACTGTAAATGAAGTAATTGATTTAATGCAAAATGACACTAATATGGCAAACAGAGTAGTTTGATATGGTGAAGGTTTACATGGCACTCAGCAGTATTGAATGCATCACAAATCTGAACTATTAGACATAATAAAGCAATTAGAGTCTTAGAAAATAATATTTTTCACATTTAGTGTAGCTAATATGCATTGGCCTGATTTGCAGAACCTTATGCCAATGGTGAAAATGCAATAGAAGTGACAAACCAGGAAGCTGCTAAACATAGGCATAAAGACCTTATAGATAATCTATATATTACTGCATAGTTTTTTAAAAAAAGATTTAAAGTATTTTTTGAGAAAGTCTTAATACCCAAATGGGAATTATCTGATTGGTAGTATCACTTTGAATGGCAGCACTGCAGAAGCATTTATGTGCATAGAATTGCTAAGTGAAATAGTGTTCCTAAAATTAAGTGGGATGAAATTAGTAGCAATTAGGATAAAATGAAAGAAGTAGTAGATTATATAGATTTATTAGTCATAACAATCAACTCTAGGCTAAATGCACCTTTACCAATATGCCATCTATGTTAAAAATATTCAAAGAAGCTCAATGATGATTTGCATGATTATGTCAAGCTAATAAATAAATTGCAATAACATATACAGTGTAGTGCTTTTTATTGCTTGCAGATTAATAAACAGACTGAAAAGCATTTCTGCAGATTTGGTTTTCCAAAAAAGTTAAAAGATCAGACAGTTATTTGTAATAAAGATAGGCATATAGAATTAATTACAGCAAGAAATTATCCTCTAATTAATCTATATAATCATCTTTAATTTCAGAGATAGTATACAAATGTTGATTTGAAACCTATTTTGACAACTCATGCTGCTTTATAGTACATGTCAAAATATGTTAGTAAGACTGAAACATAGTCTTTGGCTTTCTCAGAGGTGTTAGATAAGGCTTTTCATAATAGCAGGTTTAATGATTCTGCTGTAAAGGCATTTCAGAAATTGCTACTTTATATAGTAGCAGAACGTAACATTTCAGCCCAAGAAACTTGTCACCTTCTTCTTCAAATACCACTTTACTATTGTAGTTGAAATTTTGTCAGTTTAAACCTAAATAAGAAGACAAATCATTGGCTCTGTAATGGTAACAATCATGAAATTGAATTAGTGAAAGTGAAGTTAGCAGTTCTCATAAAACAAGTTTGTCATCTTTATAAAAATATTAGTGTAGATCTGCTAAACTCCAAAATATTTCACTATTTGAATTGTATCTAAAATATAGATTTGTAAAAGGTAAATGGATACAATGTGAGAAAGAAAACATTGTACATGTATGGCCTTGTCCATCACCACTTCCAAATGGACCTCACTGGAAAGATTTCTGCAGAATTAAAGTTCTTCTTTATGTTTGTCACAAAAATCTCACCCAACTCACTGAAAATAGAACACTTTCATGGGAAAATCTATACAGTAGACATAGTTTGGAAATAGAATTTGACTCTATCGACTTAATTGGATCAGGAGTAGGTAATTTAAAAATAAAGAGAGCAATTCTGATGATCAAGACCAGGATAATATACAGAAAGCAAATATACATCGATCTGACTGGACGTTATTGTCAGACATGATGCCAAATATACTAACACATTATTCTGTACTTGGTACTCATAATATTGATAGAAATCACAATTAGGTTAGTGAAAGTTAATTGTGATATCTGAAACACATTGATTTCAAAAGTTTAATTAAACAGGCTACTCAAGACAGTGTCATAGTCAAAGATAATTTGCCAGAAATTGATAAAGGAACTCTAAATAACAAGCAAAAAATAATATATAAATGAATTGAGTCTCATTATGCAGCAACAATTTTAAACCAATATGCAATACCACTACATATTATTGTTATGGGCACTGCAGGAAATGGAAAGTCTTATCTTATTAAGGCAATCTGAAGAATGCTTCATAGGATGGCAGGAGATAACAGTATAAATAAAGAAGTTCTACTTCTGCTTGCTCCAATAGGAGTCACTGCCTTCAATATTCAAGGTAGTACTATTTATTCAGCACTTTTTATTCTAATAGCAGGCACAAATTATAATCTTGAAGGCAATTGTCTCAAAACACTGCAAAGTAAACTGCAAAATATTAGATATGTTATTGTTAATAAAATGAGCATAATAGGATGTTGAAATCTTGCCATAATTGATCTATGATTATAGCAAGCATTTCCATATAATAACAACATACCATTTGGTAGCTTATTTGTAATTCTTGTTGGAGATTTTGGGCAGCTTTCTCCAGTCTGTGATCTTCTTATGTATTTAAAAGACCTTCATCAATCAGATTCTTTATCTGAAAATAGATGTAAAGCCTTTAATTAATTTCAAGAAGTATACAAGTTTGAAGTTGTAGAACAACAAGCAGGTGATTTAGATGAACAATGCCAATTTAGAGATCTTCTATTATGTTTGTGTAATAGTGAGTCCATTCAATCAGATTGGGAGCTACTGATGATATAGGTTCCAGAAAATCTGCCTAAATTAGAATAAAATGAGTTTTTAAGTGCTACTAATATTTTTATATGATGGAATGAAGTTGATGAGATTAATCACACTAAGCTTTGCTTATTAAATCAACTGTTAACCAGAATATATGCTATTTATACAGGCAGCTCTGAGGCTGTAAACACTGATTTAAAAACTGCAAAAGGTCTTGAGTCAGAAATATTATTAGCAAAAAAAGCATGTGTAATGTTCACTACTAATATTTGTGTCTTCTCAGGCCTTGTAAATGGTGCAATGGGAACAATAGAGGATATTTTGTTTGAAAGATCTAATCAATTACTTGTCTTAGTTGCATTTGATAAGTATTATGCTTCAACTATTACAAATGTTGATAAAAATTAAACCATACCTATTATTCCCATTCACTGTATATGGAAAGGTAAAACTAGAAGTATGTGTTCTTATTAACAAATTCTACTTGCTTTTGCATAGTCCATTATGACATACAAATCATAAGGATTAACTTTACCAAAGGCTGTTATTGATCTTGGAAAGAAGGAATTTGTTGCTAGTTTATCATTCATGGCTACTTCGCATGTTTGTTTACTTAATAATGTTCTTCTAAATCATTTCAGCTTTGAGAGACTTCTATGGGTTAAAAATTGTAAAAGGTTACAAGAATGGTTAGATGAAGAGAAAAAATTATTTCATTTGAATTTTAATTTTTTAAAAAAACTATATTATATTTGCATTTTTCATTTTTTTTTTAATACTATATATAACATTTTTTTTTATAGTATATAAACATTAAATTAATTTGATCTTGATTACTGTGATCATGATTGTGATCTTGTAAAACTATCATATAAAAAATCTGGTTTGAAAATTTGCCATGTCGTAAGCCAGCTAAGGCAGCCACAGCTAAGTCAGCTTAGCTGCTAAGCCAGCCTATATAAAAGAGTTAGCTGGCTAATACAGCTAAAGATCATATTATTATAAGTAGTTAATAAGTGTATAAAGAGAATACAAAGTCATAACAATAAGGCAAAACATTGGATTTAAATTTTGGACATCCTTAAACTATACCCAAAGTATAGGCTCTTAACCTATAATTCTTAAATAAATAAACTAAATTTAAAATAGCTATCACATGCTAATTAAATTAAGAAATATAATAAAAAAAATATGAGTTTTACTGTTTATTGGCAAAGTTCAGATTTTCAGACTAATCTGTGTTTATTTATATTGTTTGATTAGTTATTAGTTGAACATATAACTAAAATTCAACACAAAATTATATCAATTGCTCTACTATTAGAGTTCTCATTATGCTTTGAACAATAAATATATATATATATATTTTTATAAATTAAATATTTATTATATTATGCTAATAAATACATTATATTATACTAAAAAAATATATCATATTATATTTATAAATCGATTTTTATTACATAATTTATTGAATTTAAAAAAACAAAATTTTTGGTAATTAATTTTTTTTTTTTTTTTTTTGGTATTAAGGTGAGGTTTTGCCTTTATCTTTATTAATAATTTGTTACAGGCAACTAC